AGGCCAGCCTATTGCCATATACCGGGTACGATTAAAGACTCCGTGCTACTACTAATCGAACGAATCCGAAATAAAAGTTTCGGATACTATCAGATAGGGGTGTGGCGTATAAATGAAACATTTATTTGTATTTTACTTTTTAAATTCCTTAAAATGTCCGTAACCGAAACTAACGAAATAATTTCATATTCGTATCTGTACTTAACCGTATCTAGTATATCTAATATTTATTTTTTTAAAAACGTTGCCCCACTTTATGTTTTTTCTCCTGTGTCGTGGGTCCGTTTACAAACATACAAGTTCACATACACAATGACACCCAGACCCGAAACAACAATTTGTGGATCACTCAAAGTGTTGTTCCGTGCAGGAATCGAACCCGCGACACGTTTCAAGGCAGCTGGTTGCCCAGATACCGTACCAACCGTGCAGTAAATAATCATTTCTATATCCGTATCCAATCCCTAACCGAAATTTCATATCCATAACATCCCTGCTTCTAAACATTCTCAAAAGGTCTCGTGATATAAATAATCACATATTTAAAAAAACAACCCTCTTGATACAACGCAATAAAAATCAGCCATCATATTAATTATTCAACCGCAAATTCTGTTAACCGCTTTTCAAATCAAGTGGTCTTTCTGCAATATACAGCAGTTAGCAATATAATGGCGGCTATTCACTCTGAGGTAATGGATCCGCCATCTGTAGCCTCCCACACAGCATTTTATGCCTCAATGTCCCACGTGGACCAATTCACGTTCCTCTCAAATTATATTATATCTCTGATTTTATGACAGTGTTAAATAAATAATTGATTTGAATATTCAATTAGGAATTTTGATGTCTGTGTTTAAAAAGTCGTTTCGTTTTAAATTTTTGCGTTCGGTAGATGGCGGTAGTGAAGTTTATGATCACGTCTTAAAGAAGACAATTTAACTCGAATGAAACAGATTTACTGATTGGATACTTCAATTTCGTTGCTCTAAATAACAAAGAGTATGTCAATTACTTAGATTACTATAGAAAAAGTTTAAATATTTGATAAAATCAAATGTTTCACTTGAAAAAATAAACCGAACAACGATGAAACTGGCTTTAATAAAAACACAGCTATCCAGAAGGTTTATTATTTTTACCAAAATTCTCATTAACTACCCTTTCTGAAAAACAAAAGGACCTTTCAAAAACATGACCCCATTAGCAAGAGTAAAAACAATAGCTTTGTCAACCAGCTCACGTCGCTTCGTCAACAATCAAACGTCCCGTCAACATGGCCACGTCAACGTCAGATGCAGCGTTTGAGTCGAACGAAAAGACACGCTACGATATGCTTTGTGTAAGCGACTGTTTGTATGATTCGATTGGATAGATTCTTTGTTATTTTTACTGTTTTTTTTTCAACTCAATTACAATCTGGTATTACATGTACGTACTAGCTTCTACCACAGGCTTCACCCGCGTTCCTGTAGTATAATATATCCTACATGTTTTTCTAGACAATAATCTACTCCTGTTGCAAATTTTCAAGGATTAAACTGTCAAACACCAAGCGGTCACCGGTGACCGCAACCTATTGTTCTATAATTGTGTCTACAAAACCGGTACTCGACGAGTTAATAAACGTACATACATACAAACTTTCGTATTTATAATATTATTAGGATGTGAATTATAAAATTAATAGAAAAGTTACTAACAATTATTAAATTAGCATCTGAATTAACTACATCCACCATACGTTCATCATTTTGACTGCCTAATTAAAAAACAAGATTCATTAGCGGAGCTACCAAACCGAACTTGGTACGACATAATTATTGTGTATGGTAAATCAAAGAAGATTGATAGACATAGATATAATAATATGATTGCATTAGTCTTCTTTGATTTACCATAAACTCCTCACGGGATTTACGAGGAACTTTTAATTAAAATACTTTTTCTGTCGTTTTACGTTTTATGTGTACATACGTCCACTAGATACATTTCTACAAAAATAAAAGTAAACCATGATATATCATACATTTTTGTTAAATCGATTTGTAACTCTAGTCAAAATAAAATTCTTTAATTTGCATATTTACCCGCCCACAACATATTTTCTAGACTCCGACAGCGACACTATCAACCTTGTTAATCAGAATGTGACTAATAGCTGTAGTTATTAATTAAAACGCTAAAAGCTATATATAACATTACGCATTTCCCCTCAAATTGTACATTTATATTCTTTAGATTCGTACAAATTAATACTGAATCATTAAAATAAGAAAAAAAATCATCAATGCTTCTTTTGGTTTTATCCGGAGATCATATCCAGCACTTAATGCGCAAGAGTCACGCTTGCGTTCGAGTTTTCATTTTCAGAAAGTCAGAAAGTACACAAAAGCATACGTAATAGTCCTCTGGAATTAGAAAATAATTAGTGTGGGAGAACCATGCTTCGGCACAAATGAGCCGGCTCGACCGTAGTGATATCACGGCCTCACAGAAAGCCGACATGAAGCAACGCTTGCGTTGTGTTTCGTCGTGTGAGTGAGGTTACCGGAGGCCCAATTACCGCCCTACCCTTCCACAATTTCCCCAATCCCTGAATCCCAAAACGATCTTCAAACTCCTAATCCCCAAATGGCCGATAACGCACTTGTAACACCTCTGGTGTTCCACGTATCCATGGGCGACGCCGATTACCTTCAGGTGATCGGTCAGGTCGGCAAGCCATAAAAAAATTTCTTGTTTTCTTACTTAAGTTACTTCAGGACTTGTATCACAACATTTTGTATCCGAATTTTCGCTGTCACAAATCTGGCAGTCGGCACAAACACATTTTTCACATACTGCACTGCACTAACAATCTCATTATTAAATAAATTAGATAGGGTCAAGATACCCGCAAACTTAATGGCAGTGGTTTAATAGGAAGAGCTCAAGATCAAGATCAGGGGCGTCTTTTTAGAGAAATCTTGTTCAGACTGGTAATGGAAGTTCCTTCCGATTCCGATTGATGATGTCAAAGAAATTCCAATAGATTCTAAAACTTCTGACGTTTCGCTTGTTTTATATGGGAATAAATACTAACCCTCTGACTCTTGCCTATACAGAGAGGGAGACTAGAGGACGTGCTGACCAATTTATAGGACGGATTAGTGGCCGACATTATCTTTGACGTAATCTTAATCAGGAGCTATCTGAGAGCTTGGGTAGTTTGTAACTAGTTTCTATATTTTTCGATGAAGAAAATAGATACTGTGATTCTTAAAATGGAGTGTTGTTAGAAGATTGTTAGTCATGTGATGATTATCAGAAGAATGAGAATAGTAAAGATATGAAAGTTCTTCAGTAGAAGTCTACTAGTTTTTCATTTCTTTAAAAATATTTGAAACGCCGTGTTGGTTTAAAATCTGTGAATAATTTTTCCTAATCTAGTTTGCGTAACATGTCATGTTTCCGAAATATCTCCAAGTTTTTGACATCTCTCACTTCTTATTACACATTATGTATGTATATATGTACATGTACAAGGGGATAGGGTCCACAATATAAATGGCGAAAATTACACATCAGCATTAATATATTATATGACTGCCTCGTTGGCCGAGTGGTCGCAAGTGCGACTGGGCAAGGGGTCTCGGGGTCGATTCCCGGGTCGGGCAAAGTATTACTGGGTTTTAAAAAAAAATTCTAGCACGGAGTCTGGAATTGTGCTCGGTATATGGCAATAGGCTCACCCCCTATTACATGGGACTCATAACATAAATAGTGAAAAGTGGGTGTCAGTTCTGTATGCACCTCTGCCTATCCCTTAGGAGATAAAAGGCGTGGTGTTATGTTATGTTATGTATGTGTACTACAGACCACAACATACCGAAATCTTTCAACGAACATAATGTCGCTATCTCACTGAAGTCTATTTCGTTTACGTCCCGCGGCAAAACAACTTGCCATAAGGAGTACTTTCGAGGTATAAAGTAAAAATAAAAAATAAAGATATCATTTTTTTTGTTTTGAAAACAATCATGAAACACTAGACATTTTGTAGGCACTATTCGCTTCGCACGTGCCATCCAACAAGAAATAACTCTTCGAGAATTACATGTTGATCTTTTGATAATGTATCATAAGTGCACTTTCTAAGTCTGCTTTTTGCAATGTTTCACTAACTATATTTTGTTTTAAACATTTTATTTACTATATTTAATACTGTTGTGTTAATGAAACATAACCATTTTACTTCGGTACTAAAACGAAATAGATTAGACGGTGTATACTCTAAACAGCTACTCAGATTGCTCAACCCCATCCCTGTCACAATGACACAGCATTACCTAATCCTATTTAACTAGCCCCCCAACACTGACGTCCTATAATCTGTATCTATTGTGTACACTTGACGACTGTGTCATCTGTGACGTCATCGATGACGAGGCGCTATGGTAATTTTACAGCGATATCCTATTTAAAAGTATTATTAATGATCTAGATTGTGATGTTGGTCTAATAGTTGTATAGGCTTTCTAGTCCCTTATACATTAAACGCCATGGGGTCATCGGTGACTGACCTTAGCTGAGGAATTGTGTTTAACAGTTTTCTATTGGCAGTCAAAACCTTAAACAAAATGGTCTGTATAAGTCAGTTGAAGGAGTGGGTAGAGAAATCAATTTTAGTGCTGGACATAGGTTTCTTACTCAGACTTTTGTCTTGATGCGAAGATGTTTTAATGCGAGGATAATGAGGTTTTTTTTTTAAGGGGGGAAAATCATCGAATGACTGCTCCCGCCTGGGTGAGGCGGGAGGGGGTGTCAGACTCTTACTGACTAAAAACCACCCCGTTCCTTCTCCTGCACGTCGAGCCGAAGTCCCGACACTCCCTACCACCTCACCCAGGCGGGAGAAGTAATTCGATGATTTTCCCCTCTTAAAAAAAAAACCTGTATGCCTGCCTATTCAATAATGACACAGTTACCTTAATAAAATCCTTTTACTTTTGTTACAGGGGACCAACACACATCAAGAAACATCCAGAATCATCCAAACCCGGCGACATTAACCGCGCAACAGTTTTCATAGATTACATACAAAAATTTCATACAAAATTCAGTGATGAGTGCTTAGTTGTTGTGTGGAAAAAAACATCGCATGGAATTGCAGTGCGTGGGTTCGAGTCTCCGGTTGAGCAAACAGAAGAATAGGTGAGTTATATTTTGCTATTGTTTAATAGCGATAGGCTTTGTTGATCGATTAACAGCCGATATTAAACTGATTCAATCCAAAATCGAATTTTGTTATTTGTTGAGATTTTTAATTACAAATCGGTTGTAAACTGCAAGTTTCCAGCATTAAGTTACGGATTCAGTTCTCCGTTGAGACAAATTATTAATGAGATTTGGTGATTACCCTTGCTATTAATATTTATGTCTCATAATAGCGGAAGTCATGATGTAAAACTAACAATGACATCTACAAATGTCATCTAGATCTAAGGACCGGGACACATAAACACGATGCGACGTCGTGTCGTACTACGATGCGGCGTCGTTTCACGATGCGACGTCGCGTCTCGGGAATCTACGACGAGCATCGTAAAAAACTACGTCGCTACATCGTAACGTGCCACATACACGAGACGACGTCGCGTTCTATTTCTATTTTATCTATTTTTAAGGCATTTTACTTCTTTATGAAGTAGTGGCTCCCGATATTCATGATTAAAAGAAATAGGTGGATCGGGGATCCAGTACCTTCTGAGTTTCTATCTTTTCTTTTTCCGTCTTCTTAACAACAACAGGAGCAAGACGCGTCTAGTGCGATCCATTTCTCGAAATTAACTGCGAGAATTCACCCTGCGCTGTATCGACGGCGTCATGCCGTGTATCGTGTCTCGTTACAATGTCCCACGACGCGACGTCGCATCGTGAAACAACGCCACATTGAGGTACGACACGACGTCGCATCGTGAAACGACGCCACATTGAGGTACGACGCGACGTCGCATCGTGAAACAACGCCACATTGAGGTACGACACGACGTCGCATCGTGAAACGACGCCATATTGGGGTACGACACGATGTCGCATCATAGTTATGTGTCCCGGCCCTTACATCTATTCTATTCGTTTAATATTTATGTCACTTACCTTACGGAGCTGGTTAGCGAATCGTTGCAAAGTTTAATCGATTATCGTGATACTGTCTAACCGAACTTGTTCACTGCCATTTATACAGTTTAAACTGTTTGTCGGTCTGTTAATAAACTATTAATAGTTGAACAATTAACGCAAGGCGTTTGTTTTACTTTACCGTTTATATTTAACTGGGGAATGTTTAGTTAACGAATTGTTGATTTAATAAGTGCTGTTTGTTGTGTGTATGTCTGTCTATTTGTATTGGATAATCTTTGAAATGGCTGGACCGATTTTACAAGACTGTTACCAGCAGGTAGCTGATGTACTAAGGAGATACATAGGCTACTTTTATTTTGAAAAATTGAAACAAAAGCAAAGTTATGTTCTAAAATTTATACTCTACGCGGACAACAGCTAGATACATATAAATGAGTTGTTACGTAAAGTAAACGTTACATGTCGATTATGAAATTGATATTTGAATCTTCATAAGATCATCTGCAGAACAAAGATCACTTCAATTAGATCATTTACAAATATGTCTGTCAGCTACAGAGTGGGTATTGAGTAGGCGGTCGAAGTAGATACTAGATTTCCTTTTAATCAGAATTGTATTTTTGACTTATCTTTTAATAATACAGTCACAGGTTACAGAAAAGAGTCATAAAATACACATAGGTACATGTAGATTGATCTATAAATAAACATCTGTCTTGATATTAACTCGTACATAATCACCTGATATAAATTCCCAAAATCTGTTATTATATGATAATTATATTTCTATCCGATTGAACCACCAAACTTAGCTGCCAAGATGCTTATGTTGTGCGACCCTCGAGCGAGCTGAGTAAATGCTACAAGCAGCATCCTAATCTACAGTTGAATCTGCCTTATAATAAAATTATCTACCTTAAGCCCAAACGTAAACCTAGATATAATTTCTACAGGGCAGATTATTCATCTATAATAAAAAATCTGAGAGGTGTTGACTGGCGGGCGGAGTTCTCGAGCTGTGAAGGGGTTGACTCAATGGTACAAAAATTCTATCAAGTACTGACTGATCTCATAGACGAATTTGTGCCGAAACCAACGATCCATAAATCCAAGTTTCCTTCATGGTTCAGCACCTCGCTTATCAAATTGTTACACGAAAAGGAAAAAATACGGAAAAGATTCAAAAAATATGGAAACCCCAGAGACGAAATTGAATACCACCTGCTTCGTACTAGATGTCACACAATATACGATAGATGCTTCTCTGAATACAAAAACAATATTGAAGCTAACATCCCAAAAAACCCTAAACTCTTCTGGAGTTTTATTAAACATAAAAGAGGAGGCAAATCATCAATACCTGCAACAATGAATTTAAAAGACCAGGTCGGAAACACAGGCCCTGAAATAGTAAATTTATTTGCAGAACATTTTGCCTCGATCTACTTGTCCGGCTCGGCTCCTTCGGATGCTGCTTTGCTTGCGACTCCGTGTCACGCGTCTTTACAACAGAGTTTGCATTCGCTCACGATAAAGGAGTTTGAGGTGCTTAAAGCGATTAAAAAAATTGACGCTGTGAAGGGTGCCGGCCCGGATGCGATTCCGCCGGTGTTTGTGAAAAGATGTGGTTCTGCGTTGGCTTTGCCTCTGACCTTAGTGTTCAATCGATCATTAGCAGATGGGACATTTCCGTCGGAGTGGAAAAGGGCACGCATTGTTCCGGTCTTTAAGAAAGGGGAAAATTCTGACGTTCAAAACTATCGTCCTATTTCCATTCTGTCCTGCTTTTCCAAGCTATTTGAGTCGATTGTTTATCCAGTGATCTGTCGGCTTGTGGATGACAGCATCTCAGATTCACAGCATGGTTTTAGACGTGGTCGCTCAGTCGTCACAAACCTGGTCCCTTACATTTCTAATATATCCAATGAAGTTGACTCGGGCAGGCAGGTTGACGCCATCTACACTGACTTTAGCAGTGCCTTTGATAAAGTTAACCACTCCGTTCTTCTGAGGAAATTGTATGGATTGGGTGTGGATGGGGCACTTTTGAAATGGTTTGAGTCCTATTTAGGGCAAAGACCTCAGTCGGTGGCTGTCAACGGATTTAACTCAAATATCTATTTTGCCGATACTGGTGTTCCTCAGGGATCGCATTTGGGACCTCTTCTGTTTGTAATCTTCATTAACGACATAGTTGAAAAAGTAAGACACTGCAAGGTGTCACTGTTTGCCGATGACCTCAAAATATATAAAACCATATATTCCGTTGGTGACTCTCGTCAACTACAGGGTGACCTGGACGCGATACTGGACTGGTGTCGCGTCAATGGTATGAATCTTAATGCCAGTAAATGTTTTCATATCAAATTTACAAGAAAAAGGAAGCCAATTGCAACGGAATACATGCTTGGTGATACAGCATTAGTGGAGGTCAACGAAATCCGGGATCTTGGCGTGATAGTTGATAGTCAGCTTAGGTTCACCTCACACATTGACAAGTCTGTCACAAAGGCGGCTCAAATGCTCGGATTTTTAAGACGGAACTCGACTGGATTTAAACATCAGCGCACTAAAATCTTGCTTTACCAATCCTTGGTCCGTAGTCATCTTGAGTTCGCCAGTGTTGTGTGGAGTCCGTTTTATGCGGTGCATTCGCAGCGCATTGAGAGTATACAGAGAGCGTTCACTAGACACCTTGCTTATAACACTGGTGGATTTTCTCACAGGAATCCCTATAAAGAGCGCTTGATTAGGTTTCGAATGCATTCTCTTCGTGAGCGAAGACTTTTGCTGGACATGACCTTCTTTCACAAAATCATAGGTGGTCATTACCGGTGTAGCTACTTTCTGGAGAACATGCCTCTGCGTGTCCCCCGTGTCTATCCTCGAGGAAAACTTAAATACATTTTCTACATTCCACCGGTAAAGTCTAATTTGGGACGGCAGGCACCTCTCCGTAGAATAATTGATGAGTACCACTCCCTTATCTCAATAATACCCGATCTTGACGTGTTCCACGATGGATTAAGAGTATTTAGAGGCAGGATTATTGATGCACTATAGTATCGTTTGTTATTGTTGTTGTTGGTGCTGCTTGCTGTTTTGTACTTTGACATCTGTTTTAAACTCTGACATTTCTTTATATTATTGAAATTATTTTGATTCTGATTTAATTGACATTTCTTTGAAATCTTGACGATGATTTGACATTTTATTATATTATATCTGTATTAAATTATTATTATTAGACTTAATATGGCATACATTCTAATTAATTTTTGTTGTTTTTGTTGTTAATTTGTTTTGTTTTAATCAGACATAAGATAATTATATAGAAAATTGAACTTGTTAAATTCTCGTTTCAATGTGTGTATGGTGTGGAATATTGTTGTTGTTTTATTTTCCGTAATTCTCAAATTGTATTTTATTTTTAAGCCACTGTTAAGCCTATGAATTGCCAATGCTATGTACGCCATTATTGTCGCATGCATCAGACCCTTATTTTGTTACTATTGTGTATTTTCAATGTTATATGTTTGTGATGTGGCCGTACTCCTTCGAATAAATAAA